ACATCCACCTTAACTTCGCGTTTGATGTCACACGATCTGTCGATAGCTCCTGCTTCGATCGCCTCTAGATACATTGCCTTCACCAGGTTGATGAAGCGCCTCCTGAAACTCGGTACTCGGGACATGTTGGCCACAATCCCTTGCAACCTATTATGAATAGATGGGTTTGTTACTTGGAGTTGCTTCAGGTTTATTTATTGTTGAAAGTATAGCATGTGGAAATAAGGGTGCGCTTGTACGGTTGTACCTTCTGATTATCGCCTGCAGCTGACCTCTCTTTATATTGTCGTCTGAGGGGAAACCGGAATCGTCCCAGTCAGATGGCTTCTCGTTCTTGTTTGTCATGATCAGCTTCCTCAAGCACATCTCCTCGTCTTCAGTGATCTCCAGTTTCCTCATTTGATCCTTGATGACCAGAAGTGTCCCGAGCAACCAGTCAAATACTCTGTCTTTAGGCCAGTTGAAGTTTGTCACTTCGACATTATCAGCTACATGAACATACGAGCTATGTTGGTGAAACAAAAAGATGAAACAGGGACAGTGCACACTGAATCATATTGTTAGGTTTTGAAGTGGACATTCGTTCACATGTTGGGTACAGAATCGTACATATGAGCAAACCGTCCGAATCAGAATTTGCAGATCGTAACAGACACTGAAAGAGACACCAGGTAGGTAATTTAATGCCTAACTTCTTGCATTTTCCTTTGGTGATATATTCCTCCATATCTTCGGCAGTTATCAGGCCCTCACTCAGTAATATCCTTCCATTGAGCTCACAGGAACGGAAGAACCAATCCCATATCTATGGAGTTTATAAGTGAAAAAAAAAAGGAGAGGATATTAAATCTTAGTTGCTAGAACAGAGATATAGATCAGGCATGATTAAGAGAGAGGCATGATTAAGAGAGATTTGCATACTTGAATCGGTCGTAGTCGCTGGACTGTTTGCATGAATGTCTTTGATGGATGCAACACCCTTCTATGCTTATGATGGCCATTTTGTTGCCTCTCTTCAGGTTCAGTCGTAAGCTTGTGCTCTTCCTTGCCAGTTTCACACTTCCTGATATCTGCTTTCCGATATTTGGGCCTGTCTGTCAAAAGTGGCTTACTGACAAATTGAATAAATAATCTATGCACATGGAATAAATGGCATGCAAGTGATAAACAAATTGTAGAAGGTAACTGCTAAATGTAATGGAAATATGAAATATACATCGAAACATACCTTGGGAGGCATGATCCTTCTCTCAGGTAAAGCAAATCATTGGTGTATTCATCAAAAATTGCTACTGCTGAAATCATGTATGCAAGTCCCATTTGGAAAGAAGCCTCCTGTGCATAATTGTAAAAGCATATGAGTACAGCTTACTTCATGTGTATTCTTGTTTCATCAGAGGAAATACTAGACAGACCTGATAAGCAATCAGTCCTGCACAAAAACCGAAAAAGAAGCTGCTGAAAAATGAAGCTAGTAACCCCCCAATCACAGCAAGTGGCCATAGTATAATGGCCAAACCAGCAAAAGGCACACATACAGTTTCTAAAAATGGCCCTTCCCTTCTAACTAGATCCTCACATAACCTTTGCCATCCTTTCAACAACATGCAGGGGCTTTTCCACAAAGCCACTGCACTTATCATCAGCACATCCACTGGAACAGCGATAAAGGCAATGAGCATGCTTCGTGGTAGATAAGACAACCTACATCAAAGCACCGTATAATGTTAGTAACAAAACTGCACACATGATTTGATCTTTCCTCCGGTCATAAATGTCCAAAATTTATGTAGATTGGCAACAAAATATTGAGATTACTAGATTCTTAATGAAAAAACTTTATAATGTATATAATTGTTTCATTTAATACAATATACTTTTAGTTAAGACGAAAAAGGGTTTGGCCTACACCGTCCTTGGAGACTAATGGATGATGTTCTGTACACCATGGTAGCGAAGGAACCACTTGTCACAGAAGTTAATGTGCACACCAATGCACCAGCATCCGGCTGGCTTTGTGAACCCTAAGCCTGCTTCAGTGGAAGACCATGAACTAGGCATTGAACAAACAACTACACAGTCTGGTTTACAGCCCTTCACTGGCAGCTGAAGTGGAAATGCAGATTGACAACATCACCACCAATGCAGCAACTGTATCGGTGATGCAATCTGACGGCACTAAATCCATCTGTACTGCTACAACGAGTGATTTTTTTGAGATATACAAGGATAAGATCAATTCCTCGTTAGCATCACAACTACACTATCAGTACCATTACTAGCTGCATCACCCACAGGGAACACAAAGTAATCAACAAAAGAGTAGTCAGCTAGCTGATAAAAGCCAAGAACTTAAGGCAAAGATACTATCCAGTGGGCACAAGAATTCTCTAACAAAAGAGATTAGGTGAATTGTCACCTTTCTCCAAGAATATGGGTTCTGATCTGTTCAATCATTTTGCACAGCATTTCAGACAGCCCTCTTCCAAGATGAAGATGGAAGCATTAATGATTTTGGTTGAACATGAATGCACCGTTCAAAAAAACAAGGGAAGAGCATCCAAGGCCGTGGAACTGACTATAAGGATCTGTCATAGTGTAAGGCCAATAGACCCTAGTGATCTGGTCAGAAGAACCCTGGTTGCTGCTATGTGATGACACGCAGTGGCCTGGAGAGGTAAACATCAGTTTGCACAAGGCCCCAATATCCCCATTACATGGTCCCTCCTGAAATATCTTTGGTCCGAAACATTGACCAGGATGAAGGTTTTCTGTTTTTTTTTCCCCTGGGTCGTTTTCAGTATGTTGGGCTATTAATGATACACATTGTTGCTCTAGAGCTGTTGTGGGGTCATCTCTTCTCAAAAGTTTTGCTGCTTTAGTTGTTTTTTAGTCATGTTTTAGTAGTCAATTCTGAGCAAGTTGTTGAGTAGTAGTTGGCGGGGAGTGTTACTCCAGTGGTCAGTGGTGTTCTGCTCCCTCCTGAGCAGGGTAGGTGTTTGTTTCTTGTAAGGTTTTAGGCTCCTTATAAACTGGATCGATTCTCTTCTTATAATAAAACTACAATAAAGTTCTTCCCGTCCTTTCGAAAAGAAATAGATTGACTTAGGACAAACATAAATGGACTTATATTTATGATATGAGGAAGTATAAGTATGCTTATTAAGGTGTATGTTTTGAAGTTCAATATCGGTTGAAGATATATGCATGATTAGCATTGGTTCTGAAAAAAGATGTAATATGCTCAATAGTTGGTCTTGATTACTGGGAGAGGGAAAATGTAAGTTCAAAACATACTTGATGTCAAGAGGGGCTTCATCGTCCCCCATTTTCTCAATAAGATCATCCATGAAAGAGAAGTACGAGTGGAAGCAGAAATCGGTGACATCACGGACAACCGTGCAAGCTCCAGCTATTGTGCTTACAGTTCCATCCTACAGCAATGAGATGGTGTCAATAGAACTATTACACAGACTCTTACCCGATCAAAGGAAAGAATCTGAACCTAAAAGGCACAACCATACCATAAAACAATGAGTGAGCTTGTCAGTGACACCCTCGCCAACAGCCTCAAAGGTCGCCATAAGAGGTACAAAAACTCCATAGCCTATACCACCCAGAAGACTCCCAACAATAGCAAGCCCGGGCAAGAGAAGCAGCGGTAATGGTAACAGTGTTCCAATAAGAATCTTCAACTCCAGCCCGATCCTTTCGGTTCTGCAAAACCAGAACTAACAGAAATGATCACATCATTGATATCACATTCATTTAATTAATCAGGATACAGATGAGAGGCAAGGAAATCACACAAAACTTGCCAATGTAGAGGAAGTTACCGTACTTAAGAACACAGTAGTATGTCCAGATGAAATGCGCAGGCCAGAGACCAATAATAACCGCAGAGCTCCCAAAGAATACGATGGAAGCCGTAACCGGACCGACTAGGACAGCTGCAGAAAAGAAGAGCGAATCATTTGCATCTGCCTGAACCACACATGACATGGACAATCGTTAACACTGAGCACAATACTACAAATGAAATCATCCACACAGAGACAATTCATAAATAAAAGCCGTGGCCAATCTGTGCTGCTGCTGTTACCTTTGATGGATCCCAGGAGCAGGAGGAGGATGAAGAAGGGCACGAAGGACACGAAGCTCCAGAGCTTGACGAGGAAACCCGCAGGGACCTGCATGGATCAAAGCGAGGCCTAGGTCCTAACCAATCGCCTCGCCTCGCAGGTCAGTATCACGAGCTCACAACTCTGCTGCTCGTATGTGTAGTCTTCTTGTTGTGCCCTGCCCTGCCCTGGCAGCGAAGCCGGAAGCCTCTGTAACAGGCGGCAGCAGCGGGAAGAACAGAAGAGAAAAGAGAGTTGGACGCCTGCAAGACGAAGGTGTTCATCGGCATGTGAGAATCAGAGGCGGTGTGCTTTGGGACTCGCCACGTGTTGGTCTGCATGAGCCACGGGCCACGCCGTATACAAGACGGTGTGGGCCCACTCCCTAGAGATGTGCATGGCATCACAATAGATTAGAGGGGGGAAATCATGACCTTCTAACACATCAGAAGAACATACTTGATTTTTTATTCAGGATGCAGAATAACCTGAATGAAATGCTATCAGGAGCGTTGCCAGAATTCCCCAAGTGCCGGGTCCAGAGCTACAGATTCCACAAACATTGACCAGGATGAAGGATTACAAAGCAGGGGAATCAAATGTCACCATGCTAATTATTTTTCCCCCATGGACAACAAACTGATAATACGTCATGTGAACATACAGCAGCTAGGAGAGGACTACATGCTACAGCAATGTCAAAGTGCCAAACATTGATACATGATCAGCCCAAGGAAAGAGAGGCAAAATGGCCATGTGTCATCAACAGCCCGCACTGGTGGTTTCCTGCCAATGCTGCTCGTGACGATAAAATAGTGGCGCTAAACTTGTACACCAGTCAAGAAACAAAATGGTAATAGCCCAGGCCTGATTACAGAGCTATCTAATGTGGATGATCATCTTGTTGAAGAAATCCTTGTTCTCAGGAAAATACTCCAGCAGCTCGTCTTTGGTCACCCACGCGAAGTCCTTGCATTTTCCAATATGGTATTTCGTTGTGCCAACCACTTGTGACTTGAAAAAGAAACGCTGCGAAAAGCATAACAGGATTAATGATACAGAGAATTGCCAACGAACAGATCTTCCTAGCATACAAAGCCTAAACAGAAACGCAAAAGCCAGTGCTGACAAGCAATGAGGAAACATGGCAAGGATATTAGTGAACAAATTTCCTTACAACACGCAAGGAACTACAATGTATTGCAAAGAGCTTTCATCAATTGGTCAAATGAATTAGGCACCTTGAATGGTGAAACACTTGAATCCGTTTGTTCAACTGCCATATGAGCCATTGGAGCATTGCCAACAAAGTATGTATGGTCAAGTCCCCCAAGAACAGATTTTAATGCAGCCTCGGCACACTGAAACAGAATCCAGTATATAAGAAACCACAGATAACTTCTTCAAATCAGTTGTGCTTTTAAGGATGTGATGTAGGCAAAAGAAACTGAAAGAAGACTACATAAAAAATTAATTGATAGTTTTCATTTGTAAAATTGCAGAACTGCATACCAGTCGCATAGTTTCTTCATTTTCGTATACTTTTTCCGGAAAATGCCATACAGGCTTTCCATCCGGAGCCCCATAAGCGTTGCCATACAGCAGGAGATAAAGTTTATTATCAAGAGCTCGTTGTAAAGACCTACATAAAAACAATGGTTCAGTAGGGGATTGGACAGCGCAGTACTTAAAAGCTAAGAAATGCCATGGAACTAATTCATAAAATATATTCAACTTTCAGCGCAATTCTATGGTGCCACACTTGCAAGTTGAAAAAACAAATCCTCATCATGTCGATTAAAAAGTTGCCCATGACAAATGCCTATTCAAGTCATCTTTGAGCAGACACAGAGAATAACATCAATGAATGTTTTAGCTATGAACCCATCCAATGATGCTCTCCTATTTCAGCTTCTCACAAGAGCAGACACATTGTAGCGATCGTGAATAGCCTGTTGTGATCTGCATTACTTGCCCTCAAAACAAAGTAGCTTAAGACTTCGACAGCTTGTACTTTGAGTCATATGGAGCTATAAAAGTTGCTGTAGCACAGGTCATGATGGGCAACTAGCCAAGTACAACTAAAGCAACACACATGTTTGAAGATTGTAAATCAAAATCAATTATAATGTGTGTACCACTGTAAGAAGTAGAACAGGGAAGCACCAATGAATTGCTAAAGAATGGGAGAAATCCATAGCTTTCAGGGGTAGAAACTCCCTCCACAATCCATATTCCATATCATTGGATAAATACAAGAAATTCTACCACAAATCGAAAGAAAAATAGAGACCTATGATTATTTCATGACCAAATTGCAACGCGTATTCAATGATATTTTTGGTATTATGGTTGCCTCACAAATGGAAGCTATATTTTAATTAGAGGCATTGCACAGACAAATGTAATTTCATTGCACAATCACATCTGCAGTTCAGCTAGTTATCATAGTAATTAGAGACATGCAAGACACGGACACCTGAGTGTATGGATACAAACAATAACCTTAAGGCATGCCAATCTCTGCCCAGAAGAACCATATAGAAAGACATGGAGGTGCAAAACTTACTTCCGGTCATTTGTTTTGTCAGCCTCGGTAATCCTTGGAGCAGGGACATAATCAATATGATAATCACCCTTACCCCTACAGAAAGAAAAGAGTTAGGATATTTTTCACACCCAAATAAAAAAGGGTCACTCAAAGGTATAAAACTGAGAAGGCCATAGTAAAACTCCCATGTATCAGAGTCAGAGAGGAGTCATAGCTTATAATAAAACATGTAGTGGCCTGATTCACATAATGAAGACATGTCTAAGTTTATTTATCACTTTGTTTTTTTTAATCAAGTCCCAATCTAGTCTGTTCTACATTTAAGTATAGAGCTCAAGTATGTCTATCATCTATCATGAGTCTATTTGCAATTTCTCTAAGTGTGACCCAACATGGATACCTTTTTACGTTTTGGTCCTATTTTAGTAGAGTACAATCATTCGTCTGCCACTACCAATAAGGTCGTGGTATTAGGGCTGCCCCAATATCAGTTTCAGGATTATAGGATAAATTATTATGTTTCTAACACACAAAATTCAACATCATTTTAAATCCACAATTCCAAATGCAAATTCAAAAATAACATATGGCCTAAAAAATGCATAATAAGCTAATTCAAACATAAACATAGGGCTTGTACACAGAGCATCACACACTCCCATTTCCACTCCCACTCCCTCCATTCTAATACATTTGCATTTTATTGATAATTGCCAAAACACTCAGTAAGATAGTTGCAAAGTATATGTAATACTCCATTACTCCCTCCATATATTCTAAATTGTAAGTTGTTCTGGCTTTTCTAGGTGCATAGCTTGTACCTACATATACATTATGTCTAGATATATAGCAAAAGCAATGTGTCTGAAAAAGCCAAAACGACTTACTATTTGGAAAGCACCGCCTCTGTCTTTTTTCTAGATACTAATCAAGACCCTGTACTAATGCACCACAAAAGCATACTATTTTTCTCTCTTCTGGCAATTTTGGAAGGGTTGTTTGTGCTTATGCACAACGAAAATGCACTCGTCCCATCCCATTTTAAAGTTGTATTTGTTACCCTACCCTCACAGCAAAATCAGAACAACCAGGAATAGGGGCAGTGAATTAGGAAAAATAAGTCTATGACACAAGGGACACAAGGGAGAGGGAGGGGCATCACCTCGCGTCGGCCTTGCCAAGGACCTCCTCGGGGTATTGCCGTCTGTACTGCTGCCTCCACCGAAATCTAAACAGAGAAACGAACCAAAGCCACGCAAAACCAAATAAGCATAACGAAGCAAGATCATATAAGGGTAGAACGAACTGAATGAGCGGATCTGCCGTACGAGAATTCTTGGAAGGCGTAGACAACGGGATGAATCTTGGGGATGACGATGGGGAGGCGCTCGAACAGCACCGACGCCACGAGCTTCCCGTCGGCCGTTTCCTTAGATGAAGCCAGCACAGAGGAGGCGGAGGAGCTGAAGCCGCGCGGTTCCCGGAGAGACCGGCGAAGAAGGCTCACCGTCGCCGGCAATCGGGACAACATGGTGGGGGGCGGCGGTCGGGTTCGGGGGTGGTGCCGCGCCGCAACGGTGTGAGGAGGGAGCTGGGAAGAAGGCGAAGGAAGAACCCTCTCTGCCTAAACCGTAGCCTCGTGGGCCTTGTCTCTACGGGCCGGAGCCCCCAACAATGCGCTCCCACTCTCTTTGCTTCATTGTTTCCCTTTTTCTGATTTCCTGGGGGAAATCAGTAGCGATGAACCATCAAGCAATCATAGGCACCTATAGTAATTTTTTACATGCATATATATACAGTTAGTGTCTGATTGATTACTCGCACTATGATAGCCTGCATAAGAGTCTAGCATTGGATATCCAATCCAGCATAGCCTTATGCTTTTAACCGGTGTTTGGTTGTCTACGTTTTGCTCTTTGCACACCTTGAAACTTCGTTTGGTTACATGCACTAGTCGTTGGAATGCAAACTGTTTTGTGTTCGTTCGGTTGCATAACATGTATATGGTCACCGATTCTCAGAGATGGGTAACGTTACCCCTTCTCCATCCTCAACCATACGCCTTTGTCTCTTGCATCCCCTCTTACTCACCGACGTCATCTCTCACTCACGTGTGATATCCCTCCCTCTCCCTGCGGTGGAAGCAACCATGGAAGCAGGCCATGAGGAGATCTCCCAGAGCTCAAGGGTGCGGCCCGCCCAGGCCTGCCGCGGGTTGGATCCTGTTACAACGGCAAGGGTGCGGCCCAAGCTCAGGATTTTGCTCTGACGTGCAGCATCTCGTAGAGGGAGAGCGGCGTGGGAGGTCGAGGTCGACGACATGGTGTTTCGCCTTCCTGGCCTGTCGAGGTCGGGATCCTGCTCCTACGGCGAGGGTGCATCCTGAGCTTGGGATCTTGCTCCAGCGCGTGCATGTGCTTCGGCAATTGGGATCCTGCTCTTCGGAGGGTGCTCCAACGGCGACGCGGTTCAGGTCGTCGGCGGCGGTGGTGCGGTTGCCCTACGACGACGGGGCGCGGTGGCCAGGGGGTGACCTTGTAGTGAGATTGGGCGGTGTGGGTATCACCGGGAGACTGCACGACAGATGCAACGCTTGGGCAGTGGCCTACAGTGTGGGTGCAAGCGCGCTCCTGCACAACTAAATACGATAGATTTCACCATATAGTGGGATGTAGGCCCAAGCTGCTTTTGAGGAGAGTGCTAGCCTGCATAAGGCCTTCTGCAAGTAACTAATCAGATCCAGCTTGCCCTACGAGGGCCTGGAGAAGGGGTTGTGCATGTGCAGGCAACCAATCAGACCAAAGTCTCTTCATCATTGATACATGCGCATTAATAGGTGTCATAAATTCGTGATAGCTGCTTCAGAGCAAGTGTGGTAAAAAATCTTATGCTGAAGTGGGAAAGAAAAGAGATGAGAGAAAGAGGCTTGTAAGTTTACAACCAGCTTATGCACAAGAACCAAGAATTTTTATGAGGGAAACACCAAAAAGGATAGAGAAGTTTGATAAGATAGCTAAGTATGTGAATGCCACCATCGAGAAAAAGATAGACCTTGATTGCAAGACAAGATGGAACTCAACTTACATAATGCTTAGTATTGTATTACCATACAATGCTTTTTCCGTAAGAGCAAATCGTGCAAATAGGCAAATATAATTGCTGCCTCAGTGAGGGGAGAACGAAAATTTGTTACTGATGTTGCAGAAAGGCTTAAGTTGTTCAAAGACATAATTGTTTTGTAGAACGGACTATGTGACAGCGAATATTCTTTTATAAGATTCGTGAGATTAAAAGTATCATTAAGGAGTTGTCAACTTGCTGTGGCAATCCATTGATAGAAGAAGTGTCAGTTGACATGGAAGCCTTAGAAATATTGAACCGATATTCAAGGTGAAAGGATCAAGATGCCCAAGAGGAGGGTGAATTGGGCTAATCTAAAAAATTTCGCAACAATTAAGACCTATCGCTTAGCCCATTTCACCCCTAGTACCTAAGTGTGATTTCTAGTCTACCACACAAAGTTTTGCACCCTAGGTTCCAACCATATTCTATCAAGGCAATTCTAGGAATATAAAAACACAATTGAAATTGCTTAAATGTAAATGCTCAAAGTAAAGAGAGGGTTAGAAACACGGCGATATTTTTTCAAGGTATCGAAGAGTCGCCACTCCCCACTAGTCCTCATTGGAGCACCCACGCAAGGATGTAGCTCCCTCTCGATCCGTGCAAGGACAAAGTGCTCTCTATGGGCTGATTCTTCATCACTCCGACACGGTGAATCGTCCACAACCGCTCACACCATGACTTAGGTCATCCACAAGCTCCGCCGGATAATCATCAAGCTTCCAATCACCACCGAGCCGTCTAGGTGATCGCGATCACCAAGAGTAACAAGCACGAACTCTCACTTGACCCAACCAAGCCTAATGAGAAAAGTGGATGCACACTTGCTACTCTCTATACACTAATGAGGTCCTTAATCTTGGATTAGCAAATCTCAACAACCCCACTAGGCTCTTGCTCTCCCTTGCACACCAAATGTTTTCCTCAGCTTAAACAAATGGGCAGAAGAGCCTCAATGCATGAGATGGAGGGGTATAAATAGGCCCAAGCCAAGGAACTAGCCGTTACCCTCCAACTCAGCAGAATCGGGGTCACCAGACAGCAAGGTGGCACACCGCCACCCCTATCCAGTGCCACCCCAACCGCCACCCTAGGGCGGTGACCAAACCCTAAAAACCCTTGTCTCTAGAAAAAAAACGGCGGTGGCACCGCCACCCTAGGGGCGGTGCCCTGTCCGGTGCCACTCAGTTCAAAGCATCAAAAACACCAGCCTCGGGAAAATTGCGGCGGGGGCACCACCACACCTAGGGCGGTGCCCTGTCCGATGACCGCCAAGGCAATTTCCTAAACAGGTAGCCTTGGGAGAAAAAGGGCGGTGGCACCGCCACCCCCATGGCGGTGTACACCACCATGTTCGGTGCCACCCCCAGCGCTGGCCTTCAATTCAAGTGCCAATTCGAATCGCTTTCGAACTTCCAATGAACTTGGGCTCATATGAGCTACTTAGTGCTAGATTAAACAAATGTGCACCACATTCTTCTCACTAGACTCACCTAGGTCAAGCTACCCATCCATGCCCCCCTTTATAGTACTAAAAGTGCATTTGCCCCCTATGTGGGTTTTGGTGTGTTGATGACATCCAAATTAGGGACTAATGTGATCTTAATGAGATATGTCGCAGTTATTAGTCCCATGAAAGATTCAAATAGTTGATAAAGATGAAATGGTATCCCTCAATTCTTAAAGTTGTAAAGGCGGACGAACTCAAAGTGCTCTCCAAAGGTTTTATTTTTGTTTTTGAGTTTAGGATCCGCCGCACTATAAAGAGGGATGCAAACTTAGTTGGTCTAAGGAAGATAGAGTGCTCAAGCATAAAATTAAATCAAAAGAGAGACACTCTAGCACTCCACGAGCACGTACAATATTTTTCATGGACTGTTGGTGTCGGAAGTCCCGACGTAAGCCGAAACTCCCGACCGTCGGAAGTCATGACTCTTGCTGGAAGTCCTGACGCCCAGTCACTTAGCCTACGTAGTGACTGTGGCCATCGGAAGTCCCAATGTGAGTCGGAACTCCCGACAGTCGAAACTCCCGACCCAAGTCAGGAGTCCCAACACCTGAGGTTTTGCTGGCCGACTGTCTGCGTCCGTCGAAAGTCCCAACCCTTATCGGGAGTCCCGACACCTGGGTTTTTTGCTGGCCAAATGTCTACGCCCGTCGAAAGTCCTGACGTACGTCGGAACTCCCGACAGTCGAAAGTCCCAGCCCATGTTGGGAGTCCCAACACCTAGGGTTTTGCTGGTTGGTTGTCTGCGCACGTCGAAAGTCTCGACATACGTCGGGAGTCCCGACAGTCGGAAGTCCCGATGTTTGTCGGGAGTTCCGACATGGACTTGCTCGTGCAAACTTTGACCATGCGTGAATAGTGTTTTCTGTTAAGGTCAGAAGTCCCGAGATCTGAGTCGGAACTTTCGACATAGATCTGAATGGTTAGATTTCTACTATGAGTATAAATAGCCCTCTCTTCACTTCTAACCGTTATAGACTTATTCACAGCTCGCCAACCTTCGCGTTCAACAGCTTCCAAGTAACAAAGGCACCCCTCTCCTCCCTCCTTTGCTCCAATCTTTGATTCCCCTAGGGTTTTGAGTGAAAGAAGAGTGGATTAAGTGAGAGAATCACTTTGGCAAGCTTGAGCACTTGATTTCTTCGTCAAGCCGGTTGGATTTGCGTCTATTACTCTTGGGGCTTTGCCCCTAGCCGGCTAGGCGTTGCCCAAGAGCTTCCATCGTGTGGAAGAGCCTTGGGAAGTTTGTATTACCCTTGATTTTTTAGTGGAAAGCTCAAGTGACCTTTGTGGTTGCTTTGAGAGAGGCGAGGAGGTGAAAGAGACTCCGACCTTTGTGGTCACCTCAACAACGAGGATGTAGGAGCTCCTTTGTGGGGTTGCCGAACCTCGGGATAAATATTTGTGTCCCGTGTGCTTGTTTTTGTGTTTGCTCGAGATTACTTGTATTTGCTTGTCTCTCTCTCCCGAACTTCATTTTAGGGTTTGGACTCGATCTACGGTTTGGAGGCATTTCGGCATCAAGGGAGTGGCCCAACATCTTCACCAAACCACTAGGAAGTGGGGTTGTAAGATTCTTTATCCGCAAAGTTAAATTTAGCACTGCTTTTGTAGTTCACATAGGCGTCAGGACTTTTGACGGTTGTGCCGGAACTTCTGACGACGTTGGGAGTTTCGACCCAAACTGTCGGGACTTTCAACATTGACTGACAAATTTGAACTTAGCATTTGCAGTTATTTTTTAGATACGCCTATTCACCCCCCCTAGGCATTGTTAGATCCTTTCAATTGGTATCAGAGCAAGGTCTTCTTTTAGCGCTTCACCGCGTGAGAAGAAACAATGTCGGAGTCTGACAAGATGCAAGCCGTTGCCGTCGAGATGGCCAAGAAAATAGTTGAAG